TTTTACAATTTAAAATAATGCATACATGGAAAAAATGTATTGAAAATAGATAAATATATGTATTCTTTCTTCATTTATCTTGCCCATTACCTATAAACATTATTTCTTTTTTCCTCCTTTCAAACTTATATTCCATTTAAATTCCCATTCCCTTCCTCAATACATTTCAGTCTACTTCTGGCCCATCATATAACCAATTGTGTTCTCAGAATGATTTCATTGCTAAATCTTGCCTTTGTTTTACTTGATTTCTCAAAATCATTTGGTGCTGTGTCTCTTTAAAGCACTCTTATATTGAATTCTGCTATTTTCCAGAGTCCTCCAAGTCCTCATTTATAACATATGTAGCTTAAACATTGCTCTTCATCAAAGTTTCTACCAAGGCTTTTCATTCCTCTATCAATTCTCTGATCTTACTTATCCCAGTGACATCAATTGTAAACTATCTCATTCCAGAATCAAATCTTTTGTATCTTGGGCAGCAGGCAACAGACACTTTTGAATACCCGAGAGAAATATGTTTCAACAAAGAGCCACAAAAACCTTCCATAAAGAAATCATATTGAGGGTTCACAAAACACCCTCCTGTGATGTCTATCCTTTGAACTTGAAAAAATAACATATCCCTTCTGAACTTCACATAGACATTGCAGGAGAATCTGTTGTGAATCTAGAATATGGTTTCTTTAAGAAACTCTTGTGGCTCTTTGTTGAAGACACTAGCCGCCTATAGCTCCATCTGATTGGCTCATTCCCTTCATGCTGGCTGATGAATATTTTTAATATCACCTCTAATTTTATACTCTGCAAAGAGTTCTCAATCACTTTGATGAAATATTATTTTTTCCACTTCTACGAATACTTACCAATTTGTTTATCCTTCAGTTATCATATAGTATTTATGAATTAGATATTTATGTTTCTGCCTTTTTCTAATTGTAAGGCTCATAGAAGCAAAGTTTGTACATGATACATTTTTGTGTCCCCAGTAACTAGCTTAAAGCTTGTCATGCATGATATTATTTAATAAATTCTTGTTAAGTAAGTGTGGCTCTTACTATAAAAGTACATGAGAGATAACATTCAAATCTCCTTTGTAAAAATTCAAATATGTTGAATTTCTGGTTTTAATCTAAGGGAAATATCTGTTTTTGAACAAACTGATCAATACTTAATATTGATTTTTTTTCATAAATAATGCCTAATCATTGCAATATTTTAATAGTTTAATGTTTTAAAATTATTGCTGTTAGTGTTATTTTGAATCAGCAACTAAATATGAGATATTTTGTTATTTCTAAAAATGAAGTATTTCTTTCAGGCCTTTGTGTTGCCACCTTGGGCATTGCAGTATTGATACGAATTTTGACTACATTTCTGATGGTGTGTTTTGCTGGTTTTAACATAAAGGAAAAGATATTTATTTCTTTTGCATGGCTTCCGAAGGCCACAGTCCAGGTAATGATGGATAGGATGTCTTAGCACTTTATAAGACTTCTTAAATGACAAATAAGAAGACTTGTTTAAATTTTGTGAAAATTAATAATTGAGGTGGATTTAGGAAGCATTTATACTAATACACTCTTTTAAAGTTTAATTTTGGTATATTGGTGATTAAATGTGATGGCTCATTTAAATTTCTTTAGATCACCAGAATATAACTAAAATTCCAATAAATTCCTACAATACTAGAAACAGGTGGTGACAGAAGGGAATGGTTTGCATTTTCATAAGTTAGAGCTCCCTAAGTCACTGAAAGTGAGAGTTTTTTAACTCTTTTTATTTCGTTATCTTCCCAGAAAAGTAAAACAGAAAATGGCTTGACCCATTTAATGTTTTGAGAAACTTCAATGTCAAAAAGATTAGAATAAATTATGATTTGTCAGAAATTGCATATGTAATTGAGAAAAGATTTATGGAAGAAAAACTCAGAAAAATGCTTTTCAGTAATCTTCCTTTATCCATAGTTTCACTGTCTGTGGTTTCTCTTACCCGTGGCCCACCCAGTCTAAAAATATTAAGTGGAAAATACCAGAAATAAACAATTCTTTACTTTTGAATTACTTGCCATTTTGAGTAGCATCATGAAATATTGCACCATCTTGCTTTGTCTGCCTGGGGACATAAATCATCCCTTTGTCCAAAGTATCCACTCACCTGGTGGTCACTTAGTATTTGTCTCAGTTGTCATATGAACTGTTTCAGTCTTGCAGTGCTTGTTTTCTTTACTTTCTTAATTTTTTGTGTGGGGGGGTTGGTGGTACCGGGGATTGAACCCAGGGGCACTCGACCACTGAGCCACATATCCAGCCCTGTTTTGTATTTTATGTAGAGACAGGGTCTCACTGAGTTACTTAGTACCTCACTTTTGCTGAGACTGGATTTGAATTCTCGATCCTCCTGCCTCAGCCTCCTGAGCTGCTGGGATTACAGACATGTGCCACCATTCCTGGCAGTAGTGCTTGTTTTCAAGTGACCCTTGCTTTACTCAATAATGGCTCCAACGTGCAAGAGAGTGATGCTGGCAATTTCGACATGCCAAAGAAAACCATTAAGTACTTCTTTTAACCTTTAGTTTAAATGGTGAAAGTTCTTCACTTAAAGGGGGGAAAACATGATAATATGTAGGGCTCAGGGCTATCTAGAATTTCATACATCCACTAAGGATTTTGAAACATAACTCCCACAGATAAAGGAGGACTATTGTATTCATTTCCTAGATCATTACTTGATATTAATAATTCACAACTAGCTGAACTTCCTGACATGTGTCTTGATCACTTGACACAAAATTTGTGCACTCCAATGAACAACGGACAAAGAAAGCCCTTAAGGATAGGTGCTTGAAACTGTTGACCAAGCAAGCCTTAGAATACTTATTATTGCTAGTTAAATTAGAACTGTCTAGATTATGATTTATTGCAAATGCAATACATCCCTGATTATATTGTGTATTTACAGATTAATTATATCTAACAAGATTAAACTGTTCTATACCTGATTATTTGGCAATTATTGAAGTATGTAAACTTTTATTGTCATAAACTGAAAATTAGATGTTCTTAATTTAAGTGGCTTTGGAAGATGTGTATGTTCTCTAATTATATTCCAGATTTTGTGTGGCCCTGAGCTTGGGTATTCTTCCTGAAAAAAATTTTTCCATCAGCCTTTCAAAAGATTTCAGAGATATAATGGCTCAGAGATAGCGCAATATAGTAAATGGAATAATTTCTCCCTCACAGTGTTTTCAGCTTTCATTCAAATTCTAGTAACTTCAATAGATAAATATCAAAATAATGACTTTACCTTGTGTATGAGAGAGTTGTTTCTAAATGTTAAAATTTGAAAGCTAGCACTCTCCCACCATCAGAACAACATTTAAAATAAGTAAAATTATCTAGGATGTGTTGGATAATGTAAGTCTAATGGGAGCAAGTACAGTCATCTCTCAGTACCCATGGGGAATTGGTTTCAGGACCACATCTAACTACAAACATCTGCAGACACTCAAGTTCCTTATATAAAATGGCATGATATGGGATATAAATTTAGACTATATGGGAATATATATATTCCCATATAGTCTAAATTATCTCCGAATTATTTATAATTCCTAATACAATATAAATGCTGTGAAAAGTGGTTATACTGTATTTTCGCTTATTTATAAATAAATAATATTTATTTATTTGTCTAGGGATTATTGACAAGGAAATATACTAGGCACATTCAGTACAGATATAATTTTTTTTATATTTTCAAACTGTATTTATTGAATTTATAGATTCAGAATTCATGGACAGGGAGGGCTGACTATATTTTATAGAATTTTCTTTTTCTTCTGTTGGCACTACAGAAGAAATAAGACTTTCTAATATATGCATGTTCTATATTAGTGATACTAGTGTTTTTAAACTTTGTCTGTGATCTGCTATAAGAAATGTATTTGAAAGCACAATTCAGCATACACACAAAACCCAAAATGTACATACACAAACACACATGTGCTAGTCAGCTTTTCATTACCATGACCAAATTACCTGACAACAACAACTTAGAGGAGGAAAGGTATATGTTGGGCTTCGGTTTCAGAGGTTCAGTTCATATTTGGTGAACTCCATTGCTCTAGGCCCAAGATGAGGCAGAATGTCATGGCAGAAGGGCATGACAGAAGAAAGACTTTCAGCTTTTCATCACTGTGACCAAATTACCTGACATCAACAATTTAGAGGAGGAAAGGTTTATGTTGGGATCATGGTTTCAGAGGTTCAGTTCATGTTTGGCCAGCTCCATTGCTCTGGGCCCAAGATGAGGCAGAATATCATGGCAGAAAGGAATGACAGAAGAAAGCTGTTCAGCTCATAGCAGCCAAGAAGAGGAAAAAGCAAGAGAGGAGCCAGGTATAGTCCAAGGACATGCCTCCCAGTGACCTCTTTCCTCCAGCCTGCAGTTACCACCAGTAATCCATTCACATTATGAATCCATTAAATGCATTAATCCAGCTGGAAGGTTACATCTGTCATAATCTAATCATCTCACCTCTGAACATTCCTGCATTGCCTAACACATGAGCTTTCAGTAGATATTCAAGATCCAAACAATAACAACACACAATAGAGAACTGAAAGAGAAGTAGGCATTGTAATGTAATGTGTGAAGCACATCCAGGAATTCATAAAATGTTGAAATTAGTTACGGAACAGAGTAACCCACAACAACAAAGAGCCTCTGTGTGTAGGGACTAAATAAAACAGATTTTTAAAAATCTTTTACTAACAATCCAGCAAGGACATTCCAGACCTGTCAAGGTGAGCACAATCCTCAGCATGTGCCTTCTACCCAGGAGTCCAGCTTTTAGTATTTTTTAAATCCAGTTTGAAGGGAGAAATGAATAAAATATATACATCCATTCCTTTCAGGAACAATTGATAAGTAGCAGTTATCACTTCTACTCATCTCTTAGTGGCCAGAACTTAGATACAAGCTACATCTAGGTATAAAAGAGGCTGAAAAAAATATAAGTTCTCTGATTGAACAGCAATGTGACAGAGAAAACTGGGGAGTTTTATTATAGAAGGGAAAAGAAACATTTAGATATTTGTGGGCAACTAGCCCTTGTGTCTGATGTATAATACTTTCTCTTCTGTTTTATTATTTTAGAGGTGAACATTTTCTTGCTAAGGAATAAGAGGTTAACCACATTGATCAATACATCTTTCCCCATGTACATTCATAATAATACATTTATCCTCTAAAAGAAAATGAGAATTTTCATAATACTCTCTAGGAGATACATTTTAAATAAAACATTTCACCAACTCTGGTGGCAAAGTTAAACAAATACCTAATAAGATTAACTTCAAGTTTTGAAAGTCTCTGCTGCTTTCATGTTTCATGCTGTTTGAACCATTAGTTCAGGCTCCAAACTAATACTTATTCATTTAAATCTTCCAATAAATATTATTCCTTTTATAAATCTTTTAATTTCTCACTTGCAAAGATAAATGAATGAAACAACTAGTAAGTTTCATCTTCACTCCAAAGAAATTTGTTATATAGCACTTCAGGCTATATTTGATTAATAGTCCATATTTGCCTTGCGTTTTGAAATGTAGGTGACTGACCATTATTAACCAAGCCTTATGCAAATAGGTACATTGGAGTCAACAGTCTGTCCCCATGCAAGAGCAGAGTTTATAGATAATTAAAACCAGCTGCAGTAGGTGTTGAAAGAAGACAAATTCAACTTTCTTAGTTGAGCCAAAGAATAAGAATGTTGTTTTTGCAAATGATAACATAAGTCATTTTTTAAAATATGTGCTTGTCTTATATTTCCAACCTTACCCTTAAACTTTTGTAGGCTGCAATAGGATCTGTGGCTTTGGACACAGCAAGATCACATGGAAAGAAAGAGTTGGAAGAATATGGAATGGATGTGTTGACAGTGGCGTTTTTGTCCATCCTCATCACAGCCCCAATTGGAAGTCTGCTTATTGGTTTGCTTGGTCCCAAGCTTCTCCAGAAATTTGAACAGCAAAATCAAGATGAGGTTCAAGGAGAGACTTCTCAACCAGTTTAGAGGTGAAAGAAAAATGCTGAACCCAATGATAAAAAGCTTCTCCCAGAAGCCAATTTCATCAGAATGGATACTGATATATGTAATATTTTAAATTTAAAATGTAATAGAACAAAAGTGTTACTGTCTTAAACAGCATTTTTAGCCCTTGCCTTTAGCATGTGGGTGGAAATGTTCTACATCTACGGATGTCTTTTTTTCCCCCTAGACACCCCTTCATCCTTTATCTTAATTTGTATAAGGACATATCTACTTTACTGCCACAATTTAAAGTCAACATGGCAGAGACCGAGTTCAGTACCTTCCTCAGCTACCCAATAGCTTGTTCTAACTTACTGTAACAGTTTCAGGATTCATGGTCACTGAGCTCTCATGACTTGAATTGTTTCTGGCTTCACTTCGTTTTTTATTTTTAAAAACCAAAATGCAGTTGCTTGTCAATTTCTGCCCTTACTATTCTTCTCCTTCTCTATCTTTACCTTTCTCACTCCCTTTCTATGAAGTATTGTAACTGATTGGCCCCACCAAAATTTTAAAGTATACAAAGTATCTTTATTGATTCTTGGTCTTGGTCCATCCAGATGTTAAAAGAACCTATCTCTCCCCTACCTGGATACTCAGTCCTCATGTCAGTGGCCCTTCTTGAATCTGCCTTCCAATTGTGCCAGTTCCCTGATCCAGCTCTTACTTACTTCTTGTGGCCCACATCTTCGGGGTTTTGCAATTCTCTAGTAAGAGAGAGCTAATTTTTCAAATCTTGGCAAGTGTCATGAAATGTCACATTAATTGGGGTAATATAAGTTGCTATAAGGAAGGAATCAAAAAATAAATTCTCAAAACACAACTCTATTTCCCTCTCATGAAACTGGTGGTTGGTTGATGATAATAAAGGGCTTGGCTCATGGGGCTTCTCTGAGACCCATGTCTTTCAATCCTGAAGGTCTGCCATGCCTTAGATTAGGACCTGGTTTAAAGACAGACCTCTACCAGGTCTCTTTTTTAGCCCTTGGGTTATAGGAAAAAAAAGAAAATGCATGTAAAGCCATTTATTTTTAAGGAAGTGATGTGGAGGTCAGACACATTTCTCCTCTTACTTTCTATTGGGGCTGACATTATCCAGCTGTGAGGAGGCTGAGAAGCATCTCTACCTAAGCATGCATATCCCTAGGGGGAAGGCAAGTTAATACTTGGCCAGAGCCACCATTGTGTTAGGTTTAACTAACATTACTTAACAATATTAACAATGTATTTTTGCATGTTATCAGGGGTTTTGAAAGATGGTAACTAAAGCAAAAGATTAACTTGTGTCTTGGGAATTGCAGACATTGTGACATGACAGCAGAGAAAATGAGAAGAAAGGTGAACCTGCCCATAAGTCATATTTTATCCCACTTTAGAACAGGCTCTCTCTGCTTTTATGTATCACCCCAAATCCCTCTAGGAATACTAGGTCATCTCTGTCCTCGCTGCTAAAAGAATAACACTCAAATATAGTTTATGTTTCTTTTTTTAAATTTTTTATTTATTTTTTTATTAGTTGCTCAAGACAATACAATGATCTTGACATATCATACATTTGATTCAAATAGGGTATGAATTGTCATTTTTCCACATGTACAGATTGCAGGATCACATTGGTTATACATCCATGTGTATACATACAGCAAACCTAGTATCAGTTGTATTCTGCTGCCCTCCCT